TTCTTATTTCTGATAATAAAAGATAAATGTTCTGAAAAATTAAACGCAACTTATTACGTAGATTAAATTTGTTCCATTAATAAATATTTTTATTGTTTTGTTAAACAGTCTTGTATTAGATAGATATCTTTGAGTTTCTTCACTGACACAAATCAAGCTGCTATCTCCCAAAACTTGCGTGACAGGCAGCAGCCAGCAAGGCTCTGTTTGCTTCTGTATCCAATATTTATTTTTAATTTTACAGTTGGTGGACTACCATTCTAGAATCTAGATCTCTACTATTTATATATATTTCTTCTAAACTGCCAATGGCTTTTAAAAGAACATACATCCAATAGCAATATTTCGAATTTTTAGTTTCTTATCCAAACTTCCATTCCATGTAATGGGACCATTTTATATCCAAGAAGAGAATTATTGTGTTTTCTTTGTTTCCTTTCTAGTGCTTGGTTAAAGGGTGCCACAAAAGACTGCGAGTGGTGCATACTATAGAGTTCAGTAATGGGGGTTCAGATATCCAAATTATGAGGGTTGCAATTTATGAAGAACAATGGGTTGGTCCAGCCAATATCTCTGACAACAGGTACCGTTTTCCATTAAAGAATAAAATTATTTTTCCCGTACAATTTGGATGATGCCAATATGTTCCAAGGTTCCTTGAGCCCTGTACAAAATTTATTGCTAAAATTGTTTAATAATAAGTTACTCTGCTTTGCAATAACGAAGTTGTGATTCTACATTATGATAATATTAGAACTTGATTTCGGGCTAGGTCATTCAATTTGAAAAGTCTAACCAGAAAGGGAAATCTCTACAGGGATTAGCTATGTATTTTTTTAGATTATGCGAGTTCCTTTAAAATTTGAGAAAAATGATTACTTTAGTATCTTCTTCTTCTGAGTAATTATTTCTTCAGTCCTTTGAGGCCATATATTAGGGAATCCTATCTTCCTTTTCTTGGCTTAGTGATGCATACAAGAGTGCCCCAAAATTCATCAATTCTGTTATTTTGATTATATATGGTGAGAGTCAGCTCTTAAATCTTCAAGAAGAGCTTTTATTTGATTATTTGGAGTGGAAAAATTTTAGGTTTTGTAAGTCCTTTATTTCCTGCTGATGAAAAAAAAAAATGCAATTTCTTGGATTAAAACAAAAATCTGTTTAAAAAACATAGGAAATACCGCTTTGAGGGTTTGAAGACGACGGGAGCTACTTACAGAAAATGCATATTTCTCTCTTTGTTGTCCATAAACTAGTGTGTGTTTTGTGAATATTGATTCGTGACCTTGTCATATTTTCCTTTTACAGAGATGATATTTTAATCCTTAATTTTCAATACAACCAGTGTATTTTCCCTCCCAATTTGTTTATTTCATATTTTTTCACTTCTGTTTTCGATATGGTTTCCTGCTTCTTGTATCTGCTTTGATGAATATGTCCTGCGTTTCTTTGGTCTGCATTCACGTTATGTTAATCCAAGTTTGAAGATTGAAACTATAATATGCATGCCTCTGCTTCCTTTAGATGTCCCTTTCATTTCTCTTCTCCTTAACTTTTTAACAATTACGACAGTGACCTTGAGGCAGACTTGAAGCCATTTTCTCAGAGAAAAAGAGTTCAACCATCAGAGCTGACAGGCTCCTGGAAGGTTTTCGAGATAAGTGCAACTCCTATCTATGGTGAAGAAGAGATTGCAGCGGAGGAAAGTAATGGCACGCCGTATGTGTATCTCTGCACCGAGAATCTGAAAAAGAGAAGCTTGCCGGAAAATCCAGTTTACTTTGGAGAGGAAGAGATGCTGGACATGCAAGATGTTACTGTCATGTGGCTGCCTGGAGGCGTTACTACCTATGTTGATGTGAATAACGATGGAATCCTTTGTATTGGTGTTGGATGGTATTCAGACGAGGGAATCAACCTTGTTATGGAAAGGGATTATGGATTAGACGGGAAACTGATAGAAGTTCGATGGAAATCTGAAATGAAGAGAAGATGGACTAATCCACCTCCCATGTAAATTTGCCACCAGTGAGCTA